ACATCCTGTATGTCATGATGGAAGCTACATTTACATACATCATAAAGTCCTGTATCTCATGATGGAAGCTACATTTACATACATTATAACATCCTGTATGTCATGATGGAAGCTACATTTACATACATCATAACGTCCTGTATCTCATGATGGAAGCTATATTTACATACATCATAACATCCTGTATCTCATGATGGAAGCTACATTTACATACATCATAGCGTCCTGTATCTCATGATGGAAGCTACATTTACATACATCATAACATCCTGTATCTCATGATGGAAGCTACATTTACATACATCATAACGTCCTGTATCTCATGATGGAAGCTACATTTACATACAGTATGTCATGATGGAAGCCACATTTACATACATCATAACGTCCTGTTTCTCATGATGGAAGATACATTTACATACATCATAAAGTCCTGTATCTCATGATGGAAGATACATTTACATACGTCATAACATCCTGTATCTCATGATGGAAGCTACATTTACATACATTATAACATCCTGTATCTCATGATGGAAGCTACATTTACATACATCATAACGTCCTGTATCTCATGATGGAAGCTACATTTACATACATCATAACGTCCTGTATCTCATGAGAAAGCTACATTTACATACATCATAATGTCCTGTATCTCATGATGGAAGCTACATTTACATACATCATAACATCCTGTATCTCATGATGGAAGCTACATTTACATACATCATAAAGTCCTGTATCTCATGATGGAAGCTACATTTACATACACCATAACGTCCTGTATCTCATGATGGAAGCTACATTTACATACATCATAACATCCTGTATCTCAGGTTTCTAATGCCAAGGATGCCACTTACACATAGTTACCTACACCTTCTTCTCTTCAAACCGGGTGCTGAAGCATAATGACAGCAATTATGCTGAATATAATTGAAGATAAAGGAAGTTATAGATATAGCTGTCTGTAATTAGGTGCAAGCAGAATTTATGACTGGTCTGTTTTAGAGAATTTATAGAAATGTTACATAACAAGGACACTATTTATCACAATGATGGCGTTTTTACATCTGGCAGGGGACTAAATACTTTGGTGAACTTGATTAGCAAATATAGCTAAAATTCTTTTTGACATTCATCATTTTAACACATTATGGCAACTAAATCCAGCACTAAAAGTCTTAACTCTTCGTAAAGACATCCACTAATGAAAAAAAGAGGTAAATGGTACGTTTTTATTCTAATAACACTTTTATTCAGCTTCGAACCCTAATGTTTAATTGTACCATACATAGCATTTCATGAACAAAATAGTTTCTGTTATATAAAGTAAAACTGCAAGAAATGCCAAACATCTCAACTGTCACAAAATGATGCAACAATCGATTAACCGAAGAAAGAAGTGACATGAAGTTATTGCAACTAAACAAAGTTGCCACAAATCGTTCTTCAAATTAATCTATTTTTTTTTATGGTGAGATCTCATCATTCTCTTCACAACGTGATCTTTTTTAAACAGAAAATATCTAGTGACTTTTCAGCCATAATTACGTCTCTCACCACAGGCATCCTTTACTGTGCATGTCACAAGGTTTTTAGTGAGTTAAATTTAAAATTAAATTAAACTACTTTTTGTTTGTTTATGTTATACTAATTAGTATAGCATAAAATTGTAACTAATAATACATATTTTAATCGTACGTAAGTTTTAAGTTCTTAATATTATAAGGCAATATTAAAAAAAGATCCCCTACTGTGAGAAATATGACTTCTCTAATATATTTACCACCCCCTCCAAGAAGTATGAAATTTAACATATTATAATTTTCATAGCCTTCAATTTTGTTTGTTTATAGAGTCATCAAATAGAAATTCAGACTCCTCTTGCCACACCAACCTTTCACATCCTCTCCTTCAGGATTATGTCAATAGTTCTCTCTTACATTTAATACTATATTATTTTTAACCAATAAAAAGCCACACCAACCTTTCACATCCTCTCCTTCAGGATTATGTTAATAGTTCTCTCTTACATTTAATTATATAGTATTTTTAACCAATAAAAAGCCACACCAACCTTTCACATCCTCTCCTTCAGGATTATGTTAATAGTTCTCTCTTACATTTAATACTATATTATTTTTAACCAATAAAAAGCCAAGGTTTTCATCAATCAAACGAAATATTATATTACATTGCTTTCTATACAGAAAAATGTTAATTCCTCTTTCAGTACAAATTTCGTTGAAACACATCGACTGCTTGGATGAATTTGTAACAGCTGTTGTCGCACGGTTAGAAAGCATGATACTTATGGGACATTGTTTGCTTTTTGTATGTTATTATTCTGTAATCTTTGGGAAATTATTGAATTAAATAAAAATTATTTTGTGTACTACTGCCATTAGTATTAAAAAAAAGTGGGTTAAGTGTCATCAAGTTGACAGCCAAAAAAAAGAAGGCCCAAGTAAGTACTTTATTTCATGTGTATTCTTTATTTATTATTATAAAGGTAGCTGAATTGTTAAAATATGAATCTCTAGGTTAGTTACAGTTAGATGAGGTAAAATAAACAATAATAATATAATAATAAAGTTTCACGAGGCATGCATGCTGCTTGGAGTAGCTCGTGGTTAATGTAATTCGATAGCTTAACGTGAGCTGCATGTTCCCCAAGTGATTTACAACTTATAATGGAGCGAATAGTATTAGTAGTAGACGTGGTTCAAAGGGCAATAAAACAATAAAATTTAAATATAAACAGATGTATACTGTTATGAGTTTAAAGCTATTTAGGATAAATAAATGTAGTTTCATGTTACATTTGAAGTCATTCTAGAAAGAAAAAAAGGGTAATTATATTTTTTTTTGGTGGTTACAAGGTTGGTCACATTGACCAACCATGTATAGAGTTAACTTAAAGAAGATAACAGATAAAATATAAAGTTTTACTGAGAAAAAAACGTTTGAAATGTATTTAGGAGGTTTTAGTGATTTTGTAAATGACATTTGTTATTTTTGAAATGAAGAGAAATATTTTTAATCTTAACACTGGTAAAAAAAAAAGGACTTGATATCTTCACAGACAAATCTTTAGTAAAAATATTTCATTAAAAAATTGATTTTTTTTTGTGTACAAATGACTTGTAATGTTTACTAAGAGTCTGCCAAATTTTGTGAAGATGCGTGTACTGTATTAAAAGTTATAGTATTAAAACTATATACAAGTAAAAATAGTCTCTTGGTTAGTCCTTGGGACCGAGCCCGTATTGAAAGAGTTCGTAACCAGCTCATTGCTAAATGTGCAGTGCATGTACTGTATTTACGTAGGTCTAATCTAGTTGCCTAGGCTGCTGGTGCTAACCCGGTGCAATGGCACATTCCAAATGCCATAAACAGACAACTACAAAATGTATGTGTATGTGATATGCTCATGACAGAGTGTGAAAATACTCTACGTTCCATTTGGAAGGAATTTTGAAGAAATGAACGTCGGATTTGATACATCAAACTGAAACTTTAAGATAAAGGAATGATTCCCACTTACGCTAAGCAAAGCGGAAAGTGATTCGCAACTGGAGTTGTTTTGATTCACAAATTGTGATGCAAACCTGGATATTTTGTCCCATGTCTGGTGGTAAACAGTAAAGATCAAAATGAATTTACACTGAAAACTGTTTCTGATGAAAGGTATTCTTTGGGTTAAATTCTTTTAAACTATCTTGTAGAGTGGGGGGAATAACAATTTATGAGGGAGAGACAATATTTCTTTGTCTAAGCTGTCATTGTTAGATGATTGGACTCTTGCTTATATCTCTGTTTATTGTAATAATTTACAGAAATCACTAGTCCACTGCAGGTAAACAATCCAAAGAAGGTATTTTGTTATCCGGTTCAATTTGCCATTTCAACTCCTCGATTACCTACAGTGGATCTACTCACTGATCGTGATGTCACGTTGCTTCGTTTTTCTGGAGACGTCGTTCGAATAAACACGTTGTATTTTCAGAAACTGGTAAACTTTCTTTTTTATTAATAAGTTTATTTTAAATATTTTTTTTTACCTTACTCACAGTCTTTCTTCCAGACTGGTCAGCATGGAAATAAATTTTCTAAGTGTAAAATTAAATTTGTTCACATGTTTTTAACTACTTCCTATTAAAAAAATGTTGAATAACTACTTTGAAAATTATTTGTTACGAAGTAATTTTCATTAAAAAAAAATGCAGATTAACGGTTTTTAAAACGAGAAATTAAATAATAGTTTTTTGTTTGTACAGCCAAAATCTGAATTCAAAGCCTTGAGTCAAGTTTAAAGTTATCGTAGTTAAAACTTGGGTTCAAGATCTTGAGATAGGCCTAGAGTTATCATAGCCAAAATCTGGATGCAGATCCTGTAGTAAACCAGTGGTTTGCAACCTTTTTATGTACCCCAAATAAGACCTTTGAGTCAACAGCATATCCCTGAGCATATAGTTTGTTAAAAAAAAGTCTAGTCAAAAGAAATAATTTCAGTAAGCAAAACAAAAACATTGAGTGCTAGCTGGAATACATTGGTAATATCTAAGGTGTGGGGTTTATTTTCTATTTAATGCTTTTCAAAGGTCTCCTTGTACCTCTGGGGGGTATGCACAATCGGTTGGGAACCCCCTGTAATAGATCTAACTATGAGGTGTGTTGTCTCAATAAACATGTATGTATGTAGATATGTACAAACTCATGTAACACGCTTTTTCTGTAGGAACAACTATACAGGTGGAACTGCACAGATGACCGCAAGTTTGAATTTTTTTTAGCTAGGGTTTGGTGTATGTTAAAGAGATATCAGGTGAGTGATTCTTTGCTTGTAAAACGATGTGTATTGATACATGGTATAGATATTAATAGGAATATGATGCCAGATTGAAAATAGTAATAAAAAATACAATTAATATGTTAGTATTGTAGATTTGTGCTTCTTTTTTTTCTTGTCATCAAAAATGTAAATTTGAGCAATAAATACACACGAAATCATTTGGTTCCTCGCTTGTTACTGAATTAGAACATGGAGATTTGGTAAATTCCGGCAAAGAGCAAGTCAAAACTAAATTAGGTGTTAACGGTTGTGTTTGATGGTTGAGTTGTATTTTACTGACCATGGTGAAACTGGATTACTATTTTAAGAACTTCGTGCATTAATTTATGATTCTAAAAATTCTGTATCACTTATGTCAATAATTACAAAGTTTCTTTTGAATGTCCGTGTTTAAATGACTCTTAGCAGTATTTTAAGCAGATTTTTATTAAGTTAGCAGTTTAAAAATGAACTGAAAATAACTAATACTATAAACATACTTGCAATCCTCACCAATTTCAGCACCCCTTCTGACACCTACCAATTTTGGAAGGTAATCAGCTGAAAAATTATTTATATATATATTATAAATAACCGTTTTCAATTATACAAAAGCCTGGCCTGATGGCAAGGCACTTGACTCACAAACTGTGGGTTGTGAGATTAAAACCCATCACCAAACATGGTTGACCTTTCAGTTACGTGTGCATTATGATGTGATGGTCAGTCCCTCTATTCTTTGGTATAAAGTAGCCCAAGAGTTAGCTGTGGGTAGTTTCAAATTTCCTGGGGGAATATGCCAACAACATATCTCTGTACATGACATGAGC